AGCCAAATATTGTCCTATCCTAACAAACCATACATCAATGGAAAGCTTATTTATTCAGCTTTCAGATGATGTATTAATCTCAATTTCACAAAATTGACCCTTATGACTGGTTTTGTGGTCCAGGGTCACAAATGTATAATTTGATGTGATTCTCCTCAGATCCCGTCGGGTCTGTTCATCCCCAGTATGGCAGTGGGTGCCATCGCCGGCCGTATCGTGGGCATCGCGGTGGAGCAGATGGCTTATCATCATCACGACTGGATCATCTTTAAGAACTGGTGTCGTCCTGGCGCAGACTGCGTCACTCCGGGTCTGTACGCCATGGTTGGCGCCGCCGCGTGTTTGGGTGAGACGCTCCAGATCCAGAATCACTGAATTGCTGATGTAGATTATGAACTTTATCTCTGATCAGACATGTTTTTAGGGGGTACCTACATAAAATCAGACACTGAATATTTTTTATTTACCATGCAAGTCTATTTTTAATTTGATGCTGCTGTTTAAAAATGCAGTACTAATGGCTGAGATGCTCAGTTTACTTACCGAAGGCAATTTTTGCTCTCATTTGAGGTTTGGGAAGTTGTTCCCTGCCATCAGCTGCTAACTAAAACTAAAACTATTAAAAATAATTTTCTGTAATTGAAATGAAGCTGAAATTAAATATAAATATTAGATGAAAAACAAAAATGAGAAATGTTGCCTTGGCAACTCACTGAAATAAGTTTAAGTACTAAAATTAGTAAAACTGAAATAAAAATAAACTAAAGCCAAATAGAAATATTTTAAATATCTTAAAGACTTTTGCAATCAGTTGTTAACAAAGGTACAATTAAAACTATTAAAAACCGTTTTCTATATTTGAAATAAAGCTGAAATAAAAGGAAATATAAATATTAGATGAAAAACATTAACAAAATAAAATACTTAAACTGAAATAAAATAGGTTTAAGTTCTAAAATGACTAAAACTGAAATGAAATAAATAAATTAAAGCTAAATTGAAATATAAAAAAATAATAAAAATGACAGAAGCACATAACAAAATTACTAAACTTCAACTACAATTCAAATGAAAATTTAAAATATAAAATAAAAAATTCCCTGCCATCAGTTAACAAAAACTACAACTAAAAACAGTTTTCTGTAATTGAACTATAGCTGAAATAAAATAAAATATAAATATTAGATGAAAAACTTAAACTAAATAAAATACTTAAACTGAAATAAGTGTAAAATTACTGAAACTAAAATAAAATAAAGCTAAAATGAAATATTTAAAAAACCAAACAATAATAAAATTACTAAACTTACCAAAAATCTAAATGAAAACTCAAAATATAATAAAATATCTCTGTCATCAGTTGTTAACAGAAACTACAACTAAAACTATTAAAAATTGTTTTCTGTAATTTAAATAAAGATTAAGTAAAACAAAATATAAATATTAGATGAAAAACTTAAAATAAAACAAATAATACTAAGTTTTGCTGATGTAGATTATGAACTTCAGAATTTTTTTTTTTATTATTATTAATTATTATTATTATTATTATTATTGTATTTATTTACCATGCAAGTTAGACTATTTTTAACATTTACTTGCCAAATTAAATTTTTTTTCTAGAATTGAAATAAAGCTGGAAAAAAAAAAATATATAT